TAGGAAACCAGCAGTTATACGTAGTGGAGGGATTCCAGCGAGATCACAGTGCAGCAATGAATGATAATAATACTTAACCTCAATACAAGCACAGCAATGACAGTGGATTAAATTAAAAATGAGTCTGATGTCTATGGAGCTGAGAAGGTCATGGCCTGTTTGGACAGTAGCCCAGAGTTTTGTGTGTCCATAAACCAACAACTGCCACCAATCAGGTGCTCCATCACTCTGAATACTAATCCTCTGCTGTAGACTAAATAGAGGACACAACAATATGTTGGATTTCTATTTTGCTTGGCTACAGCCCAAAGGCCACACGAAAGGAAAAAATTAAAATGTACCTTGATTTAACTAATTTGTTAATAACTGATTCCCCCAAGGGCTGGAAGGTGGCGCAGTTGGTAGCACTGTTGCCTCGCAGCAAGAAGGTTGTTTGGAGTTTGCATGTTCTCCCCGTGCAGCGTGGGTTCTCTCCGGGTTCTCCGGGTTTCTCCCACACAGTCCAAAAACATGTTGAGGTTAATTGGTGATTCTAAATTGTCCGTAGGTGTGAATGTGAGTGTGCTTGGTTGTCTGTCTCTAAGTGTAGCCCTGCGATGGACTGGCGACCTGTCGAGGGTGTCCCCTGCCTTCACCTTAAGTCGACTGGGATAGGCTCCAGCCCCCCCGCGACCCTAGTGAGGATTAAGCGGTGTATAGAAAATGGATGGATGGATGGATGATTCCCCCAACATGAACAGACAGAGTGTTTTAAGTTTGTTAGTCTCGCATTTGAATTTCTAAAATTAGTTTAAAGTAAAAGATTTTATTCAAGAAATTATGTGAAAATGTCCCATCCTGGGCTGACCCTAGAGTTCACTTAGTTGAACAGGCAACCCATGAACAGGGCTATAGTTCCCCGACGCAGTGATCGTGGGTTCGACTTCCACTCACGACCTTTTGCTGCAGGTCTCTCCCCATTTGCCTCCTTTTCCTGTCTATCTCTACTGCTCTAAAATAAAGGCAAAAATATTTTTTTAATAAAAGAAAAAAAAAAAAGAGACTGTCCCGTCCTGTCCTCATGTGGTGTCCTCTCTGGTGGTTAGCAAAGACCCCACCAACCTGACAGCACTTTATAAGGTACGGTGAAGGCTGAATGACAGCAGGTGCTTTGAGATTCATACCAAGGTGGTTCTTACATGCATCACTACCACTTCATCTCACATTTTGCTTCGATGCAACTTTCAGTGGTCATAGCGGAATGAACAGATGCTTTTCTCTCCTCTTTTTTTTTCTCCTTATCACGCTGTTAAAACAATCATCATGCCGTGGAAAAGATGAATGCTGATAGCTTAGTGGTCTAGGTCAGGGCTTGTTCAGTTTGAATCCAGGTCACAGTGTTTTCTACACAGTCAGCCTACCTCATCATGATTTCCATCACTTTCTGCTTTATGCTGATATTGATTCTAATGTAAAATATTTCTAAATGTGCCTTTATTCCCATGTCAGAACCGGCATTTTTATAACGTCGTTCTGCTGCTAAATCTTTAACTTCTATGTTTTTGTTTCAGCAATGGCTCAAATTGTTTTTTTCTCCAATGCTTACATTAGATTCAAGAAAGAATTGAAATTCTAATGTTTAAAGGTCAAAAAAATACATTTTGTTTGCTACAATAATGTGTTGAGAGGCTGTCATGACGGACTGCAGCCTGCATGTGTGGACACAAGACTTCCTCACTGGTGATCATTTAACACACGGAGCTCACTGTTACAGTCAGATTAATGCCAAATGTCGATGCCTTCAGGGTCGTGGAAGTTGTGGTTAGGTACAGTATGAGGCATCACAGTGGCCTGCTTATACTGCTGGCCCAGAAATCAACTGTGAAAAAGCGCAATCTTTTATCATATACCCCAATTGTGTTTGTTAAAATGAGCACTAAATTGTTTTGTGTTTGGGTGCAGTGGAACACAGTCTTAAAAAATCCTGCACATCCCCTAAAATCTCAGTGCGTCAGTTTTACAGGTTAAACAAAGCAGATATACAGCAGCTTTTTATTCAGTTAGCTTTACAGGTGCTGGTAGGGAGGCTTTATTACCTTTGGACAGAGCGAGGCAATCCCAACACTTGAAAGATGACACCTCTGGTTCTGAAAAATGGAGACTTAAACCTGCATTCTTTTTTTTATTTATTTTTTTTTACCACCAGCTGGGGAACAACTGAAAGAATGAGCTGAAAGATGCCAAAATGCTCCTTAAAGCTGAATGAAATTGGAGGGTTGGATTGTAATTCTTGTTGGGTGCAGTATTCAGTATAAATGCACACTTCAAGCCTTTATTCAAAATTTGTTTTTATTTGACTATCCTGGTAGTATGGTTGTTGTGACATGTGTCTATAGTAGAAGTTCATGTGGTTCTTCTATGCAGTTATATACAGTTGGAAAAAAGTTTACATACACTTGCAATAACTAATGGCAGTCTTGTCATATTTCCAGGAGACCTTTAATAAATCTATGAAAAAAAACCAAAATGCAAATTGTTTTTTTTTGTTGTTGTTTTTTTTTTTCACAACAAAGATGCATGTGTTTCACTGATTTCATTATAATAAAAAAAATGAGTTTTAGGTATCACTGGAAACTCAGAACTGTTATGATACATTTGGTCTTCACAAGTGTATGTAAACTTTGGTTCACAAGTGTACATTATTGTATTTTTAATGAATTGTGTGTCTTCTCTCTCCTGTAGTTTGTGTTTCGTCCTCTCTGTTCTCTCTGCAGGTATCTTATCTCTGGAGCTGCACAGGTCTGATCTGCAGCTACTGGTTTTACTAACCTGCCCAGTTTATGTTCTCTAGTAGGTTGTCTGTTTGTCTCTGTTTTCCTGTTGTCTTTCCTCTTCACTGTCACCCCAACCAGGCGAGGCAGATGACTCTATACATAACCATGATTTGACCTGAAAATGGTAAATTTCGGCAAATGAAATGTGTTGGCTAGATAGGGAAAAAACTCAAACCAAAACATGAGGGTTTTGAGTGTTTTCTTGTTTGACATTAGTGCTAGATTACTTTCAGGCAAACACAATTAACAAAAGTATTTTCTATAAAGCATTAATTTGATAGTCTAAATTGAATTGCAGGATGTGCAACGAAATAACAAATGGTGAAAAGAAAAAACCCAGTGGAGACCATGGTTACCTTCTGTTCATGTTAAACCTCACAGCAGATGAAAAACATTCTATAAAGAACCTCTCTATTATTCCTGTGTTTCAGCGCCAATGCTACTGAGGTCCTGATGGACGAGTGGAAAAGGCTACCTATTAGTGATGCTCTTAGAAAAACGTGAATCACAGGAAGAAGCTGTGCTAATGGAATCTTCTAAACTGAAATAGCGTAACAGAGACTGGCAAAATAATAAGCATAACAAGGTCTTAAAGATAGTAGTTAATGCCACTTTAACGGCTCACCAAAACTGAACCATGCATGGCTTGGCCCACACTGTGAAAAAAGCTCAGTAACAAACTACAAATCTGGCAAAAAGTATGCCAGCAAAAGTACCTTAAAAAACACTGGCATTCTGTAATATTTAATAACGATGAAATCAGTTTATAAAGGGGGGCAAACATCAGACCAAATTACAATGTGAAAAAAAAAGTTTTTCTGGACATTGTAGTTTTTACTTGTTTTTTTTAATTGCATTTTTACATTTATCATTAACACATTTCAAGTTATTGTTTGTAAAGGGAAAATAAGGGAAATATATGAAATAAAAAATATTTAACGTTTTTCAGTCTTTAGTATGCATAGTTTCTCTCCTACAGTCTTGGCTTGCTTTGTTTCATTATTTTTAAGTTAACATATAGATTAATATTTTTTTTCCTGTGATTTCCTTGTTATTATCTGTAGTTAAACAAAACGGGCAAAATTACAGTAAACCGTTGAAAAAAATGAACCAAGGACTTTCATTTTTCACAGTGTAGTTCATCCTGTCTCTACATTGACGCAAAACCTCGTTGGACACATTAGTAACGTTAATGGGATCAGGTCTGGTGTGGTGTGGATGCTGACAGGAGCTGCGGTGTCTCATTACATTTATCCAGACAGAGTTATAATTAGAAGTCTGGTCGGAGCTACGGCTTTATTAACGTGATGCTCGTGGCCGCGCCCACACTGACGCAGCGCGCCGCCGAGCGGTCCGCTGCTGAGGCTGAAGACTAGAAGAGGCTCCAGCTGGAGGATGCTCACTGGCAGCAGTCTGACTCGGAGGAACACAGTTGACTTGTTTTATCACTCTTGGAAACACTTTGCTCCACGACACCAAGGATATACATGTGAGTTTGTTGTAGGTGTTTACTGCATTTACAAATGTGTGTATTTATTGTTGCATTATTAGATATGCAAGTAGGCATGCCGCAATGTGTTGTACTTGTTTAATTATCTCTGTTGCTCTTTACCTAACATTAAAATAACCGTCATTATGCGAATTAGAAGCACAGATTAAACCTTTTTATTCACTGCAGATTTCCCGATCACTGTTAAATAATACACTTGTCTTAGAAATAAACATTATTCTCAGAATTTAAGTTTAAGTGAGTTCAGTTTTATCTACACAGTTCACAGCATCAGCCATCTCAGGACACTTCACAAGAGGTCAGACCTTACAATTTGCTACGGAGCTCCTATAAAACTATTTTTCATCTTTTTTTTAACTCCTAAAAGTCTTGAGTGGTTGTGACTGTTGTTGCTTTGACAGATTCAGCTCTGTGCACATAATGTGGTTAGTTAGAGGCAAGCAGTGTCTTTCCACCTCAGTAAGCATCAGAGGGCTCTACCGAGAAGACTTCCTCAATGTCAGCCAATGCATTACTCCAGATTTTTAAAAATGTTTTTGCAAATCTGTGCAGATAAATCTTTTGCATCAAATTCATGCATAAGGCTCATGTATGGTACACTTTGCTTTATCTCCCGCTGGCAAAATCAGCCTCCATGCAGCTCAACAAAATGCTGACTCCTTGGTGAGGGTCAGAAGATGAACGCCTCCTCCTGCCGTGGTCCTCCAGTCATCATGTATCAGCAGAGCTTAGGAGTTGACCTCAATGCCAGCTGGGTGGTTCCTCCCTGTAACTGGACCTCTGTGGACAGCGTTCCGCAGCTGCCTACCTTTACCACAGCGGCCAAAGTCAGAGTGATTGTTACCTTCATCCTGTGTGGCATATCAGCTTTTTGCAATTTGGCTGTACTTTGGGCAGCTAATGGGCACAAGCGCAAATCCCACGTCCGGGTGCTAATAGTCAACTTGACTGCAGCTGATCTTTTGGTTACCTTCATCGTGATGCCCGTGGATGCTGTGTGGAACTTCACAGTTCAGTGGCTGGCTGGCGATCTGGCCTGCAGGTTCCTCATGTTCCTCAAGCTACAGGCCATGTACTCCTGTGCTTTTGTCACAGTGGTGATTAGTCTGGACAGGCAGTCGGCTATCCTCAACCCTCTGGCCATCAGCATGGCTCCGAAAAGGAACAGGATCATGTTAATGGTGGCATGGACGATGAGCGCCTTGTTCTCAATCCCACAGGTAAGGACAGGTGGTACAGGTTTGACAAGACAGGCATTTACAGATTGACTCAACGTTTTTAGGATTCTTTGATTCACAAGAGAAGTGATCGGTAGTGAACAGTGTTGTGTTAAGCTTCCCTTTGTAGCCTACAACTGAAACCTCCTCCATGCGCCATGAATTATCACAGCCTATGGGCCTTTATATCTGGCAGCAGATGATTGCATTTGCATTTGTTATCTGAGCCTCACAGAGGTATTAAACTGGAGGCAACATATGCTAGAAGAAATTAAAATCTGGCTTTTGACATGAAATGAATTCCTCTACAGGGTCTATAAATCTCTGGGCTTTCATATCTCTGAGTATTTATGTATTCACGTAAAATGTCACATTTCCTAGAGGTTCCAATACATACAACCTACCACACGCTATAGAGGGGCCACAAAGTCTCAGTGTCAGAGACTCGTAGCTCAGTTATTTAGTTACATAAGGATGAGGATCCATAATCCTGGCAGTGTAGATGCTTCGCTGTGACCAGTGAGACACGTGGTGGCGTGGCCTGTTCAACTGTTGATCATGTTATGAAATAAAAAGCAGAAGTAATGGCAACATTTTGAAATGTTCAAAAATTCCTTATCAGCTACACATAGAAGATGCAATGAGATTTTGCATTAAAAGGTTTAGTTAATTAATTGAATAATCATTTGACTAAAAAGGTATCTGGAATTATTTTGATTTTCATTGTCCATCCTGCTGCTTCCAGCTTCTCAAGTGTGGAGATTTAATACTTTTCTGTCATATATGACAATGAACTATATGTATTTCAGCTTTTGGACCAGTGAGCTGGCTGGCTTTATGCTTGAAACTGATTTTAAAACAGGGTGTCTGCATAGGGTCTCACACGTTCTTGATGGCACATACAGTATACGAACAGACGAGAATACACTTCTGTGCATTATCACCTCAGTAATTGTGTTATTTTGAAAGTTGCTCTTATGTAAAATTCAGACCTGGATTTACTATATTGAATAAGACTTGTTACAATATTCAAAACACAGTGTAACAAAACAGTACAGCTTTCATCATTGAAATTAAAACGTATTTGTTAAATACTTTATTTTGATGACAGACCTCTCCGTGGAGGATTACTGTGTTGCACGAACTTATAGAGATGTGTTCTGTCTTTCTTCAGGGACTGTTTCTTTCTCCCTGCTCTGTGCTCGAGGGGTTGTCTTGCTCTATTTTTCTCTTTAAAATACACAAAGGTAGGACTGAGCAGAAACAGACATCGTAATTTGCAATATCATTTATTTTAAAGTCAAATGTCAGTCCAACATCCATTGTGTAACAGACATTAAAACATGTGATGGAGCATTATCACATAAGACACCATCAAATGCCTGACTGTCAAACAACCAGGATGGCATGAATTTGTAAAACCATTGTCATGACAATTCAAACTCTAGATCAGACATTGTGCATGATGTGTTTTCTAAATCTTTGCAGTTGATGGCACAGTTTAAAAATGCAATTTCAGTTTGAAATTGATTAATTGTTAAGCCTATCCCAAATATTTTCTATTTGATTTATTTCAGATGACATACTTGTTCAGGTCATAGTTTTCACTTGTTTCTTTTTTAAGAAACACTTGTGTGGTTTTGGCTACTCTGGAAGGTTGTGGCAGTTTTAGGAGGATGGCTACTGCCTCTCTGATTAGTGGTACTATGGATTGTTCTATACATTCTGATTACGACTGCAACTGTGTTTCCACTGATTTTTAGTTGGTTACTCATCTTCCTGTATCCTTTACCATCTGATTTGTCAGTTCTGCTCGAAGTTCTTTTCCATGTGGAGTCATGATGCAGACATGCAGACAGACAAAGCCCATAGGTCTAAAACTGAGAGAGATCTGGTGATCACAGGTCATTCTGTAACCATGTTCATGCAGTTAGGCTGATTGGAAATCACAGGTGTTCTCAGTTTAGTTTTAGTGATCATATATGTAGTCACTTTCAGAGAATCTTAGTAAGGAAAGCTGCACTGACTTTTGTTGCATTGAGTTCCTACTGTGGAGCCTGTAGCTTTATTATTGTAACTCTTAGCTGTAAGTTAGGGGTTAGGGATCTACACTGTACTATGGTTTCAAAAAAGGAAAAAAAAAATGGCTAGAGCTGTATTTTCTTTCCCATAAATACATATGTTCTATGTTGAAGTATCTATGCCTGTTGCTTTCCAGAGGCTTAGCTTAGATATTTAATTCAATTTTATTTATATAGCGTAAATTCACAACATATGTCATCTCACAATACTTAACATAGTAAGGTTACCAATTTAAGCAAAGAACCCAACAATCCAAAGTAGTCTTTGGACTCCCTCTGAGCAAGCGGTCGTCACTCATAGTCCACAAGACATTCCTTCCACAAGAATCCACAAGACTTTCATTTTCTGCATTGTACAGTATTTTGAGTCACATCTGCATATACATTACCTTAAAAAAAAAAAAAAAAAAAAACATCAGATAATGACTGTAACTAACAAAGATTTATACCACTTCATGGATGTAATTGTAATAATTCACAATATGTAATCATAAATTTCTGCGTAAATTATATACTTCTATAAATGTTGTAATGCTGCTTAGTCTTGAAACCAATGGGCTATACAGTCATTGTTATCTTTTTCTTTGTGTATGTTTATTGCTACTTATATAAGGGAGGTATATCCATGACTCATTTGGGCTGTCTTTCTATGCTGTATGCATGCGGAAATTTAAAAAAGACAGGAAACACGGAAATAAAGCAACAAACATGTTTGTGTATTGCTATGTACAGGTTACATTTTTGCATTGTTATATATTTGTATTTGTTTTAAAGTTTCACTTTGGAATAAAACAACAACAGAAAATGCTTTAAGATTGAGAACTTTAATATGTTTAGCAGAGTTTGCTAGAATGTACATTTTCAAAGTTTAATAAATAAATAGGGCTGAAGATTTAAACGGCATTCATGTCCAATTTTCACACAGCGCAGAAATACTACACAATCAATGTCTCTGTTTTGTTTGTTTTTAGCAAAGCATGTAACTGTATAAAATAATGGTAATGATAGTAATAGCAAACCACTGTTGGTTAAGGAGTCAAGTGAACTTTCAAATGTGTATTATATGTGTATTAAACATGTCCACATCTTTAGATTTTGCTATGTATCATAGATGATACAGTACTTACAAGCGTTAAATTTCTAAAATGTTTGTTATTTTTTAATCCAACAGATATTTATTTTCCATAACGTGACCATTACCTATCCAGCAAACTTCACTCAGTGCACCACTAGAGGGAGCTTCATCACTCACTGGCAGGAAACAGCCTACAACATGTTCACCTTCTCCTGCCTCTTCCTGCTGCCGCTGGTCATCATGATCATCTGCTACACCAGGATCTTCATCCAGATCTCCAAGCAGATGACAAAAAAGAACTGTAAGTGCCCAAATTAGTTAGAGGTTCAGTTGTATCTAAAATAGACAGACACCTGATAAAGTCTGGCTCAAAGTGGGGAACATGTCATTGGAAAGACCTGACTCTACCTGTTTGTGACAGTACTCTGTCTAGTCATGCACTTCTGCTCAGGTTCTGATTTCATCCCTTTATCTTTTTCCTGTTATTCTGACCTATCAGTCAGTGGCGGCTGGTGAAATTTTGGTGGGTTTGGGTGGGAGGGCGCAGTCTGCAAATGACCTTTTATTTTAAATCAGAAATTAGAATATGAATAGCATCAGGCACAACTATTTACAGGAATGCAAATTTTCTACCTTTGGAGGATATTTTAATCATAAACTAATTTAACATTATTAAGATTTACCAGAACTAAGTTTCAAAACCATTCATTAAACTTTCATCAATATTTACAGGATCTGTACAGACTCAAAACACACAACATTAATAATAATAAAAAAACACTATTCAGGGCTCCAGACTAACTTTGTCACTGGTAGCAGTGCGACCAACTTTCTCATTTTGTTGCACCTTCCACCTGGTCAAAGGCAAAACGTATGACTTGCTGAACATTTTCTTGTCGATAGACACTGCGATTTACTGATGCTCCCTGAACGCCCCACATAGCAGGCAGCGGTAGCTGCTTGGCGGCTGTGGTGCTCTGACAGGTGTGTGACCAAAAATTACTTTAAAAGTCATAAACTCGGGCGTTCTCATGTCAGATTTGTCCGAGGTTAAACCCAGTTACATGTATTCTACACGCTGTCTTTTCTATGAGCGGAAAAACAGCGAATGCAGGCGCGCTCTGTTTTTCAGGAGAAGACCTCGTTTTTAAGCGTAAATACTGCAGTACAACAAAGTTATAAAAGTTCTACTTTCCACCACTGTGGTCCACACAGCAGCTTCCTGTGCCGGTAACAGCGACACTACTACATGATCATCACGCTCATTAATTCACATTCTCAAAAAGAAGGTCGCAAATGCAGTCTGGAGCTATTTGAAGAAAAACTTGGCTCTTCTCTCTTTCTGCTCAGCAAACTTATCTGTTACTTTTTGGTTGAAGTCACTCATCTCTGTGAGCAGCCTTTTCTCCATTGACAGCGTGGCCGATGCATTAAGTCATCACGACAGTAGCTGTCACCAAGTAGAAGAGCGACAGGAAAGGCTGTGTGACGCTGTCAGATATGTATTTGAAGCACAGTCGTAAGAACATCAAAGGACAGTTTTGATTTCCAACCACAGAAGACAAAAGCAAATAAAGACAAATTAATTGGCTTACAGCAAAAGTGGACGGGTCCGGGACGCACCGAGCTGCGCCCCGAAATCTGCAGCTGCCAATCAGAGTCCGGGCCGAGGTCACATGATCACGAAAAGTTTTTCAAGCTACATACACACTCGTGGCCGACGACCCGCATCTAGGAAGTGTAAAATTAGTAAACACGCAGTGAAGACTAATTTTGAATCTGTTAATAATACAAATACATAAATATCTATGATGACAAAGCTTAGGGGAAAAGTAAGACATTTGCTACTTGTTCCACAGTGTTTGGGGTAAAACCATAAAAGCACCGTTTCCCTTTGTTTTCATCCTGGGATGTTTAACAGTAGCTGGTTTTCAGCTCTCAGGGCTCCAGGTGAAGAATATGGTATTAAAAGTTCAGATATGAAGAATCAGACTGTGTAGAGATTTAAAAGTGATCATCACAATCCTGAACTGAATTCCATAATGAATGGGAAGCCAGTGTAATTCTGCCAGACCAGAGATATGTGTTCCTGCATCAAGTGTTTGTTAGAAGTCCTGCTGCTCAGTTCTGAACCTGCTATAGCTGGGTGAATGTTGCGTCGTTCAGGCAGGAGAATAAAAAGTTTGCAGTAGTCCAGGTGCAAGAAAATTAGGGTGTGTATCAGCGGATCAGTGATGTTTCTGGTGAGAATTGGTTTGATCTTTGCAATATTTCTGAGTTGTATGTGACGTGATTGGACCAGTCCTGATGTGCTGGTTAAAGTTGATGTTGTGATCAAACATTGCTCCCAGGTTTACTGCTGGGTGTGTTGTGCTGGTTAAGAGGGGTCCATGGTGGGGGTGATATTCATGTTTCGCTTGCTGATTCAACAATAAAGTGCATTGCAATCGTCCAATCTGCAGGAAATAAAAGCATGGATGACCTCCCCATGTGTGCATAAAACAAGATTGTTCAGTATTTTTCCGAGAGGTTCATGGAGTGAACGCTATGTAACTGAATTAAGGAGTAATGTATGTACTGCTGAGGTGACGTAAGAGGTTTGATGGTTGTCAAAAAACTACAAAGGAAAGATAAAAATTGCTGGTTGTATTTGTCAAAATGCATGTTCTTCCAGAAACTCTAATACCCAATACAATTTCTATTTCTTCTATAAGCCTATTTCTCAGAGCTCTTACAATCAATTTGATGTCTTAATTGAAATCAAAGAAGGCAGTAAAGCAACTAAACTCCTTCTCTGCTCCAGTGTCTTCCAGTGAACCCCATCTTCGCTGCTCAAAAAACAACATCCCCAAAGCACGAATGAGAACTCTGAAAATGAGCATGGTCATTGTGATCTGCTTCATCGTGTGCTGGACTCCGTACTATCTGCTGGGTCTGTGGTACTGGTTCTTCCCAGATCACCTGGAGGGAAAGGTCTCTCACTCCCTCACCCACATTCTGTTCATCTTCGGGCTTTTCAACACGTGCCTGGACCCCATCATCTATGGCCTCTTCACCATACCCTTCCGGAGGGGGCTGAGGAACTGCTACCATAAAGCCACAGTAATGTCCAGCCTGGAAACTAACATGGTGATAACGAAGTCCCTGAAGTGTACTACAGCCACTTTACCCACTAAAAGAGGGATTACTGCTGATGAAAAGGACAACAGCTGTGAACAGATGGAACCAAAATTCACTGACAGCAGAGTCTGACTGGGCTCATGCAGGGGGGAGGAGGGCTACTTGGCCCATTTCAGCACTGTATTTAGCAAAATATGATAAAATAACAGGACAAGCTGCTTAATGTCTCTGTCTGATGAACTGGTTAGTTAATATTAATTCATCTTCTTTAGGGTTTTTGTTTACTACACATTTGTTTCTCAGTCATTACCAACATGCATGTGTTTGTCTCCACATGTGATTTTGTGTGCCTGAGGATGACCATCTCAGTTCAACGTTACATAACCTCTTTATAAACACAGCAAACCTGTTTGGAGCTGTTTGATGGTTTTTATGTTGTATTACCGGCTCCCATTTAAAGTGTACTGAATACAATATACATTAACCAGGCTCTGCAAACAGCTCCAGCATTAAAATGGTGAAGAAAAGACATAATTGCCAGGTTACACAACAGTGCTGCCTGTGTTCTGTTACACCGACCTAGAAGTCTGTCAGAGAGCCTGAATGACTGTTAATGTTTCTAAAGGTGCAAATTTTCATTTAGACATACAACAAGACAGAAGTTGATGTTGCAAAAAGATATTATCCAGCCTATTGCCGTAGGAAAAACACAGAGTATACTGACCTTAATTTTTAAGTCAGAAGTTATAACATTATATGTGCAATGAAGAAAAAGAAGAATTCAGTTCAGTTGCGCTGTAGATGTCGTAGAAACAACATACAAAATCCCCCTGAAGTCACTCCAGCAGACCTGAGTGTGTAACTACAATCATCTCTTTTACAGCCAACACCTTGATGTGTTCTAGTATGAAGCAGACTGTGTAAATAATTCTAGTAGTGACAGTGTCACAGTGAGCGAGTCTGCACAATGCCACAATCCTGAAACTCAAACGACTCATTATTTATGGCTGTTTACGTTAAAAACGCTCCAAGTGAAAAAAGAAGTTCCACATTTTACAGCACTCGAGTAGAACAGACTGAAGAGATCTATCTTTTGTCCTTTTTTTGACAGTGTTTTCCTTTACAGCATGGAACATTATAGAGCACGATTGCATGTCACTTTTATGTAGATTAAACTGATTGTTAAAGGCATATTCAACATTTGCAGTTGCTAATATATGGATTATGTAAACAATCTGCTGTTTGTTATCTTAATTTCACACTTGTGCAATTTCACACACAAAGTATTTTTAATAAAATAATTGTTTGTCTAAAAAATGTCAGAAGTTGGTAAAAATTGAGTGTTCATAGTTCTAAGAAATCCCAAATGCAAATCACAAATCAAAAATAAAAAGAAAAGGAAAAAAAAACCAAGGACGGGAAAAATTACATGCTTGAAGACTGCTAAAATTATATGTGTTTATAATAAACCTAAAGCCATTTAAGAATTCAATTCAATTCAATTTTATATTAACTTTCTATTTTATTCCCTAATTATTGTTAATACATTACTTTTACATGTGAGTACAGCTGGAGGTGTAATGATTATGTGCTGTGGAAGAATTAGCTTAGAACACACACACACTAAACGCTGCTGAAATCTGAAGGTGATACATCTGGCTAACTAATGTGTTCAGGAAGCAAAAAAAAAATGAGATAAGTTTAAAATGAGCTTCATGCAATAAACATTAAAGTCTCAATCCTATTTTTCATATAAATTAAAATAATCAGTCAACTAATACACAACTGTATTACAGTTTTTCTCAACTGTTTACACACAAATTCTGGTACTTGAGACACAATGACCACACCATATAACTCATGCACCAACCCCCTGAACCAATTCTACTAAACTACAAACACAATTCCTGCTTTACACTCAAACTGCAGTTCTAAAACACACTTTTTCAAAACACTAAACACAATTGTCTGCATTTGGCACAATTTTCATGAAGAAAATCTCTTGTTTTCACAAGGAACACACTGTCATTCAAAATTCTAAAGTCAATTGCCCTACTATGCACACTGACTCATCACATGGGAAAACACCTGCCCCACTGTTTTACAATTAGCAATCAGAGCTTTAGCATAAAAGGGCAACAGGACGGTGAGCTCTTCTGTTCTGAGGCAATGGATGCCAACATTGGAAACAGAGGCAGAGCCAGAGGAGTGCGAGTAAGAGGAGGAGGACGGAGAGGATGAGGACGAGGAAGGCCAAGGACTGTAATCTCTGATGAGATCCGAGCCACTTTGGTTGACCGTGGTCTAACAATGAGGGAAGGCTGGGCAAAGGGTACAGCCAAATTTGAGCAGGTACACTGTAGCATCTGTCATCTGGACTTTCCGAAATGAGAATAGGTAAGAAATCTACTCTCACTAGAAAATTGTGGTACTGCATATCAATACAGTACTCAGTGAGTACAGTAGTACAGTATTGCCTGTGGACTGTTCTGTAAGACTAAGTATTTAGGAATTGTATTCCTACTTTGTATTCCTACACAGTATTTACAATATTTTACTATTTGTATTTCAGAACTGAAAGATTACCAACACAAAATGGTTGGGAAGGTCTTCTGTCTCCTGAACAAGAAACTGAAATCATGAACATGGTCCTAGAAAATAGCGCCATCACATTATGGTGAATACAAAGAAAACACTGGAACGTGTCTTACGTAGAAATAATCTGAGGATGAAGCAGGTCTATAGGATGTCACTGGGGGGTGTCAGAATTGTGATATAACTATGTGCAAGTAAGTCCTATACAATCCCACAATTAATGCATACTCTCAACACTGTATAAATTATACATATTTCAGTTTTGTAATCATAATGTTTTTTTCTTTTCTTTTCTTTTCTTTTCTTTTCTTTCTTTCTTTCTGTTTTTTTCTTTTTACTGGAACTGTATACAGTCAGTTCTTCTGTTGTTTCGTATGTCGGCCACTGTATGTGGAACTTTGTGCTGCTTGGGATTGGATACTGTGTGCATTGTTTTTGCCTGTTCTGAGTATAAAAGTAATACTCTAAAACATTTTACAACACTCTTATTTATGTACTGTCTGTAGTAAGTGTAACACTGAACAAAAAAAAAGGTCTAAGTCATTATGATGAATGGAGAAGAAGTGTTTTCCGTTGAGCACATCAGTATTCAACTGGTTCTTATAAATGTCTGTTCATATGATGGTTTGTGTCTATCATTTGAAAACAAAATACCATTTGAGAGGAAATAACATTGTTTTGAATGTAAAGCTTAAATTTGCAGGAGAATTAAGGCCCATTGTGTGTGTGTGTTTGTGATTTGTGTGGCAAGTTCTGAGAGTATGAGGCATACTTCAGGAAATGTGTGCAAACAATCAAGAAAAACTGTTAGAAAAACAGTAACTGACTGCAGTTTTCCTTTTGGGGTAAACAAATTAAATCTTTACTTTCTGGGTTGAACTGGGCTCATAACTTAACTAGCAGCCTCTGGTTCACATCTGAAGTTGGCTTCTGATCATTGTGAGCCTCCTGGTATGACCTGACTACAAATCTCCTTCTCATGCGTAAGACAGAGCAGTTTCTTTGCTCCTCCTTTTTGTTGCTCTCTGATGTCAGGGAACACAGCAGTGACCATGGATGCTGTGATGCTTTGTCTCCCCTCTGGACCTCAGTGTCTGACCTCTGATCTACATAAATGTCAGTAGCAAAGAACGTAAGCTGACTAAACCTTTGTACAGAGATCACTTAAATTCTTTCAGTCAGTCCTTATGTAACTATATAATAGAATACAGCCAAGGGACAAGGGTGTAGGGAAAACATCCTTCAAATGGACAATGATGAGCAAATGTTAAACATACTGTGTTCTATATTTCTATTAAGTGCATATCTACAGGCAGGGCCGAAGACAAATGAAAAGAAAACCAATGTGTCTTAGTAAATGTTGGTACACTGCATGCCACCAGAACAGCTTCAGTGCACCCTGGGACTGACTCTCCAACTCTCTGAGCTCTACTGGAGGGATGGACCATCATTTTTTTTTTAAAGATATTCCTTCATTTGGTGTTTTGATGGTGGTGGGGAGCGTTGTCTCACGTACCATGTGAAGCTTGCCAGACTTTAAACTGTGTAATTGTGGCCAATTCTCAGTTGGTGAAACCAATCAGTGTCCTAGTAGGTGTGAGTTAGCCTGTGATAGACGGTTAGAGATAGATGGTTTAGCCAATCACCTGACAATTTTTTTTTTTTTTTTTTTTTTAAATTACCCAACCTTTTCCAAACAAATTCCACAGATGGTTTCTAAATTGGTTCAGTGTCGCAAACCAGCTGCAGTCATGCACACATTCAAATGTACCATAAGGCTAGAAAGAAAACTGAGCTGGTAGGCAAATCTTTTTTTAAATGGACAGTCTTTCTTTACTCTTTCACCCACCCTTTCTTTTAGCCTGTAGCCATGAGTGTGATAGTGACCGGAACAAAATATATTGCAGATCCAAACAGTCAGAATGATGTGTCTCAAGAGATTAATGGGGTGCGTCTATCCATCCATTAGCTGTCAGCTGTCCTTAGAGGGTTACATACATGTTTGACAGTTCCCTGTGTCTTGCAGAACTAACACAGAAAAACAGACAACAATGCTTGCTCACATTCACACCCACAGTAAATTTGGAGTCACCAGTTAATCTACCACTCATATCATTTGAGGAAGTCCCTGCAGACTCAGGCAGGACATGCAAACTCTGCACCAAGAAAGGCCCCAGCTGACCTTACATTTACCGCCCATTAATTGATTACAACATATGTTCTATTATATGACGTTTACATTTCTTTACTTTGAAAAAAAAAAAAAAAAAAGCCGTAAAGATATAGTTATTTGTGCAACTTTATCCCCCTTGCAGTAGATTTATCCCAGTGTAACCTTCAGCCCTTCAAGCTGTCAGTTTGTTTCTATAAAGAAACACTTCTGTCTCACTTCTGATTACATTTTAATAGCAGTTTGACAGAATATAACAGTATTGTAGTGACAAAATGGATTGCTCTGCTTGTTTAAAGTTCAATATACAAGATTTTCAGCATAGATAACAGTAATAACATATCATAATATGTTATAATTATCCATCCATCCATTATCTATGCACCGCTTAATCCTCACTAGGGTCACAGGGGGGCTGGAGTCTATCCCAGCCGACTTCAGGTGAAGGCAGGGGACACCCTAGACAGGAAAGATCCCAGTGGGGGCATCGGGAACCTTCCCGGATGTCCTCACTGGGATGCGAATCGACAACCTTGTTGCCTTGTTATAATGATCTTGAAAATAAAGCATTTTATGTCATTTACCTAATTCATGTGCACACATTTCATTTCAGCTCAGTGTGAAAGTCTCCTCTGCTTCTCCTTCTTCACCATGTCTGTTCCACTCTGATGTTTATGTGTCTCTTCAGTCCAACACACCAGTGGAAACAGACAAAATTACAAAACGTGAAATTAGTGCATTTCAACAAATGCCAAACTATTCCATTCACTTATTTCAGCATTTCTGATAACACATTACAATTAGAATAGGTAGTAGCCCCCCAAATGTCTGATATGTCAAAATCCTGTCATAAAATTTTGTAGTTTGTTGTCTCATTGCCGTCTTCTGGCCCCAACTGTGAAGACACATCTGCTTTTACTGGCTTTAGGAATTTCTTTAGATTGGCTGCTGTTTTGAACAGGATTAAGTGATTATATTCGCAGAATCGCTAAGGTGACTTGGAAGCCTAAAACATTTTATTATGGATGTTGTCATCTTGCAGCCATTTCCACTGAACCCTCTGGACACCCTGAAGCTAGATCCCTGTTAACAGAGCAGTCAGCACAACTGGTCAAGGACAAACTACATGACTGAGTTGTCACTTGCTTAATGTAACAAAGCATCATACACAGCTGTAGTAAACCCCAACAGTACTGTTGTTTTAATGTGTTTGGTCACCGGCCAGGATCCATATCACTGATACTAGAGCTGCTTCTATTTTCAGCCAAGACTGAAAGATACTGTGTTTGCTGACTTTTCTTGTTGTGGTAGAACAAGCTCTTACATTGTTTGGGACTTGGCCCACACTATTTTCTCATCTCTTTCCGGCTGGAGAGTGCCAACTCATTCACTGCTCACTGATCCTTCCTAAGCCTGTCTGCTCCTATTACATCTCCTTTAGTGAAAAGAACAGTGTGAGATGAGTACATCACCACACAGGCCTCTCTTCAACATTTATCCTAGTCGTACAACTCAGAAAACAGATGCATGTACCAGCAGCTTGCTAAAGGACAGCTGCTGCAGTAAAAAAAGTTGCATATTTTATGTTCTTCTCTTTGCAATTACTAATTCAATGCACCAATCAACTGGAAACCCACACAGATGTACAGCTACTTATGGACATGGAATGTAATGTAGCACTTTACCCCCTTTGTTGAATATTCATGCTGCTGTCACACCTGAATTTCCCTCTGGGAGTGAAAGTCAGTCTAAGTCTAAGATCAGAAAACCTTCGCTTACATATTTGATTGAAAATCATGCTGTGTCAACGTACTGAATGAGCCAACTGCTCTGGTCAAGTCTAGCCTCTGAATTACCACAGTTCAGTCATGTTTCTCACATACTGAGAGCAAGTTCTGATAATGTGTCTGACCAAGTATCTGACTGACTTTTGTCACTGCCATGATCAGAAAGAAAATACAAGCTATCATCTGCTGCTGAGAGACAGTTGCTCAGGATGGTCAAGAGTCAACAAAGAATCACCAAAAAGCGGGTCTACAATGAATTAGAAGCTGCCAGAAGACATCACAATGGGGTGAGATGCAAGAAGGTAGTACCTCCTCTAGAAGCAGCACCTTAAGGCTCAACTGAAGCTTGCTGTTGATCACATGGTCGAAGAAAGGGCCTTCTGGAAGAAAGTTCTGTGGTCAGATGAAACAAAAATTAAACTAATTGGCTGCAATGACGGGCTGCAGGGTGGCGCAGTTGCCAGCACTGTTGCCTCGCAGCAAGAAGGTTGCCAGTTCGCGTCCCGGTGGGGGCACTGGAATCTTTCTGCGTGGAGTTTGCATGTTCTCCCCGTGCAGCGTGGGTTCTCTCCAGGTTGTCTGGCTTCCTCCCACACAGTCCAAAAACATATTGAGGTTAATTGGTGATTCTAAATTGTCCATGGGTGTGAGTGTGAGTGTGCTTGGTTGTCTGTCTCTAAGTGTGGCCCTGTGATAGACTGGTGACCTGTCCAGGGTGTCCCCTGCCTTCGCCCTAAGTCAGCTGGGATAGGCTCCAGCCCTAATTATTAGGATTAAGCGGTGTATAGAAAATGGATGGATGGATGGACGGTGTATAGATAATGGATGGATGGCTGCAATGACCAGAAATATGTTTGGAAGAGAGAAAGTGAGGCCTTCTAACCCCCAAAACCCCAAACCTACTGTCAAGCATGCGGGGGTAGTATTATGCCCCGGGGCTGTTCTGCTGCTAGTGAAACTGGTGCTTTACATAACATGAATGTAATAATAAAAAAGCAGTCATATTTAGTCTAATTTCCAAAAGACTTCTAATAAACATATGAAAAAACAAAATGCATGATTGCACAGGGGGCAGAAGCAACCAAATGTGGATTTGAACTGTGGCTTCATGCACCTTGAACCTGGTTCCATCGAAGTTCTGTTTTCTAAACTAGAATCCCACTTGTGTGGTCACTAACAGCTGACATATCACACTCTATAGGTCATAAACATCAATTAAAGTTTTTTGAATTATTTTTTCTGGCCTCTTTGCCTTTATTAGCCAGGATACTGCGAGAATGAGACAGGAAAATAGGGAGAGACCTGTAGCAAAGGCTCATGAGCGGGTCTCGAACTCACGGCCGCTGGGTCAGGGACTATAGCCCCTGTTTGTGGGTCACCCGCTTAACTAGGTGAGCTATGTCAAATACAGTTTCTGTCATAAAAACTACTTGTTATCACACTAATGTTTGTTCCAGTTTTAATTTTCTGATTGGTTTGCTATTGATTAATTATTTGATGCCATAAACAGGGTGTATGCTACTTTGAATAAAGTAGTTGTGGATGCACCTCCAGACTTCTATTCAGGAATTCAAACAACTGCTCATTTTCTTAACTATAGGGATTTATCGTCATCTGTTTCAAACCATAAAATGAGTTGTTCTCTAGTAAATTGCACTAACCAATACTGTGAAGGTGAATTAATGTATGGTGTGCTGGGTAGGAAGGACCTTGATACCCCGTCTCGATCCCCCAGATCACTACTGCACAGGCTCAGGTTACATACATAAAGGGTATACAGTGCTTCACACAAGTTCATATTGTGATTTTCCATGCAGTATTTTTTATAATCCTGTGGTGCCATTTTGGGCAAGAAAACATCACATCAAATTGCCTGTCAGTGGCTTTAAATTCTACAGAAATCTTGTCATGCAGAAGAGAAAATGTCCCCTTGTAGCTAAGCCTCGCTTTTTAAAGGTTGCTGTTAGTCAATGGCAAATTTGTTGGGTTGAAGACTTGGCATTCTATCTACTGTTCAATCACTTTGTGGTGCAGACTAATGCAATTTTCCCTGTCAAATACTGGTAAAGATAAAGTGCAGAGATAGCTGAGAGTCATTAGGAGAGCACTATGGGCCCAGCCCTCATTTTCCAGCTGCTGGGAGCTGCAGTCATTGGTAACTAGTTTTGTCATTCTAAATTGGCATTTAGCACATAGTGACCTTTTCAAATGTGCCAACACACTCAGGAACTGGACTGTACTTTGAGTTCTGGTGTAACTCAAAGTACACCACTTCTTAGAAAAAAATCTGTATTGATTGAGTCACACACACACACACACACACACACACACACACACACACACACACACACACACACACATCCATATATAGTTATAGTTATGTTGAATTTATACACTAAAATGAAATTATTGTTGAGAATGTTTCACCAATATGTAGCTTATTTTCACTTATCTATTTTCATACACAGGGCCTTGTTCTGCAAATATTTCCCCTCAACTGTTTTTCTGTCGTTCGTTGTTCCTCCCATCCCACCTCAGAATGGACACTTTTTCTGCTCATCGTTGGAGTCTCCTTTGCTGCCTCCTCTCAGTATAACAGTAGTTAAAAACAGAGATGAAGCAGATCAGACTCTTTGCTTCCATCTTTATATAGTCAGACAGAGCTGGGACAACAGCTCTCTCAGGTTTAACCATCATCCTGACACTCAAGTTTACATGTTTTTTTCCTCCCCCAGTACAGGTTGCCACTGACATGCTCCTGTTGATCATTTCCTGGGTGGGTCCTGCTTACTCCTCCTGAATCATTAAAGTGTTGTACTAACAGTTCTGAAGCAAAAGCCCAGTTTTGGTAGATTTTTCTAATTGCAATTAGTGCTGGTGATCTTCCAGCACCTCTCCTCAGTCAGCCAGAGGCCTGATTCACAAATTATGTCGACTCAAAAACATATTTATACATCCATACATATTCACTCCACACACACATACTATACATGAATACATTATGTCCCAGTGGACCAATCATTCTTTAACACTTCTATAAAAGAACACTGAAGGAATATTATTTTTTATTGTATCTCATAAGTATTGTGTGTGTAGCAAGAAGCCTGAGATAATGTATCAGTGGCATACTCCCTCATTGTTGTCCAGAGAAAAAACAAATAAATGAGGGACACTGAGACACATTCCTTATTTGCAATTAGGAAGGGCTCTACAATTCATTTTGAGCTGAAGCTACTACTCATACAAATATTCTGTACAGGACCAATCCTGGTGCAGTAAATAGTTCACATTTTGTATCAGTGTATTAAGCATTTGCATAAAAACTACTCAAGTATTTTTTTTTAAAAAGTTTTAAAACTTTTTAAGTCTTGTCTAGAAAGAAACAAGTTTGGGTTTGAGGGCTGTGGGAACTGGGAAGTACAGAGAAAAGAGTTCAGTTATTGTTGGTGCTTTGTGGGAATTTGGTGACAATAAGAAAAATATCACCAGTCAGAACCTAGTATAAAGTGACTGTACAAAATAAAATAATTTCTGCTTTGGCTCTTTGTTAGGATACTGAAACTGAAGAATAAGGATTATATGATTAACAATAATGTTTAAACCAGTTTTTGGACTGTGTGGGAGGAAGCCGGAGAACCCGGAGAAAACACACACTGCACAGGGAGAACATGCAAACTCCACGCAGAAAGATTCCAGTGCCCCCACCGGGACGTGAACCGGCGACCTTCTTGCTGCGAGGCAACAGTGCTTAGAAAACAATGTGATCTTTCAAAATATCGATAGGGTAAGCTTATCAACACTGGACCATGTCTTACGTAGAAATAATCTGAGGATGAAGCAGGTCTATAGGATGCCATTTGAATGCAATTTGGAAAGAATCAAAGAATTGCGATATAACTATGTGCAAGTAACTCCTATGCAATTCCACGATTGATGCATACTCTTAACACTGAACAAATTATACATGTTTCAGTATTGAAATCATAATGATTGTGCTTCACAATATTGACCACTCAATGTCTATTTCTGATATTGTCGTGTGTGTTTCAGGGAGTCCTTGAGCTAGAGGGGGCTGCAGTGGAGCACCAGTTCATATATTTATTGATGAGGTTGGATTCAACCTCACAAAAAGATGAAGGAGGGGAAGGAATGTCATCGGCCAGCGTGCCATTGTTGAAGTCCCTGGCCAGCGCGGAGGGAACATCACAATGTGTGCAGCAATTAACCACCACAGCGTCATCCATCACCATCACCACCCTTGGTCCCTACAACGCTGCACATCTGCTCACATTCCTGGACACCCTACACAACACATTCATTCCACCAGAGCAGATCGACGGCCCAGAGCAGCTCAGGTCATTTGGGACAACATAAGTTTCCACTGGGCTGCTCTGGTTTGTAACTGGTTCATTGCCCACCCATGCTTTTTAGTTTTTTTCTCCCTCCATATTCTCCATTCCTCAATCCTATTGAGGATTTTTTTTCTGCCTGTAGATGGAAAGTCTATGATCGAAATCCACAAACGCATATACCCCTTCTCCAACCATGGAAGATGCATGTGGAAATGTAGCAGGTGATGCTTTTCATGGCTGGATTCGCCATGCGAGGCAATATTTCCCCCGCTGCTTGACCAGGGAAAACATTGCTTGCGCTGTGGATGAGGTGCTGTGGCCAGACCGAAACAGAAGACAAGATGCAGCATAGTTTTGTTTTGTTTTATTCTTTTTACTGTAATTGTATACAGTAATTTCTTCTGTTTTGTATGTAGGCCACTGTATGTGGAACTTTGTGTTAGCTGGGATGTACACTGTGTACATTGTTTTTGTGGGAAAAATAAAATATAATTTTTGTCGTGTATTTGCGTATAAAAACAATATTCTAAAATATTTTGCAACACACTTATGTATGTACTGTCTGTAGTAAGTGTAACACAGAACAACAAAAAGGTCTAAGTCATTATGATGAATGGAGAAGAAGTGTTTTCCATTGAGCACATCAGTGTTCAACTGGTTCTTATAAATGTCTGTTC